ATCTCATTTTGTTTTCCCGGATAAATCGGATCAACTATTTATATAAAGCGGAAGCAATATCACCACGGACTAATTTGAACCAATTCTTCCACCCCACTCCCACCGAACTCCAGCACTTTCCATCCCCATTTACTTTATATCCCTAATTGTTTTGCAGCACTTCTTCCTCCATTTTTGTTTCTGTTCACGGTCCGCATGTTTTAGAAGCCGCTCACTCTAACAGCACGCCAATAATTAAGATACATTGTCTGACCTTCATAACGGTAAAGGTGGCCATACACTTTACAACCAAGACCTTAGTCTTGCGATGGTTGTAAAGTAATTTAAAAAACGTACAATCTGCCCATCTTGGACAGGCAGATCGTACTTGCGATCATCGCAAGCCCGCCCCCCTGAGGGGCAGGCTTCGATGACCGCAATGCTGAACGGGCAGTGTGCGCGTGCACACACCGGCCCGTTCGGCATTTGTCTCCCGAGCATCATTCAAACCAGCCGAAAATCTTAAGATTTTCGGCTGGTTTTCTAGCATGCTCCTTAGACAAAAGACGTGCGACCGTACAGAAGAAACGGTCGCACTTCTTCATTCACACTGCACAATTCTCGTACGATCGCGGGATTTCCCGCAATTCTCGTACGAGAATCGTGCAGTGTATGGGCACCTTTACACTTTTTATCTTGTCAAAGGCCTGATTCACACTAAACATATTGTAGCAGCTAAATAAGTGCGACAAAATGCTTCACCAAAAAAAAAAACCCATTCATTCTTATGGCCCTTGTTCACACCTGAGTGTTTTTTCACAATAAGCAAAACACCTGTCGCTGGAAAAAGTACATGAGCTTCTCTTTAGCAGATTACGGCTCGTTTTGTCCCCATAAAGTCATTTTTGCGTGCATTTTGCCCATTTACATCAGTGTGTCACAATCTGCTCATAAAAACATGCAGCTTAATACATGTGTGGTTTACGCACGTAAAAACGCGCAGCTAAAAAATGCTCGTTTCTACGCGCAAAAACGCTGTCGCCTAGAATCAGGGCTAAGACTCACCCACATGAAGTTTTATGGCAGCTCACGGTAAACAAAGCTCAGAGTCTAAACAAATATTAAATTCCCTCTACACAGAGAGAGATTTCCATAATGCATGTTTCTGTGGCGTGTTGTTTTTTCCAATAAAAAAGCAATGCAAATATCAGTAAGGATGTATGGTAACCCATAGCAACCAGACTCTTAACTGCGATGGCAGAAATCATAGGAAATCTGATTTTGATGCCATAGGTTACTGAACTTTGAACAAGCCTATACATGCACACAACTAATCTAGGAAAGAAAGATACTGCAGATGGAACCCCCTCAGTGGCTTTCCATTATGCACAGAGCAGAGGAAGTGCAAGGAGGGCTAGAAGGGGCATTCCAAATAGCACATTATTCAAGAACAAATTATAAGAAAATGTTGTCTTTGGCCATCTTAAGTTTTGTATACCCACCTCATCTAACAGACAATTGTAATAGGTACACATTGGAATAAGTAATAGGTACACATTGGAGTGAATAGACAATTGTACAGCCCAGCCAGACATCCCAGTGCAACACATCTTGTGGAAAACAGCAATCATTCCACTATTTTCACCATCATAAGTCTTGGAGACCCCTGATGTCTTCATAAAGAGGACCTGTCATGTAAATTGGCTATCACATAGCCCCCCCCCCCCCATGTGATAGCAATAAAGTTGTGTAAAAAAAAAAAGTAATACAAAAATTAAAGAATCATAAAAAAAAAATAAAGAAGCATTAAAAAAAATAAAAACATTTTTTTTAAGTCCTCCGCCCCCCACATACACATGCAGATATACGTCAGGTGCACCTACGTGCGAAAAACAACGATTGTGCCGCACATGTTACATATAACCGCGAACATCGGAGTGTGAGCAATAATTTTAGGGCCATTAATTACCGATAACACTAAACTGATGAGCGGTAAAAGCGGTTTAAGAGTCGCCAATGGCCAATTTCCAGTGTGGTCGGTTTTTGCGATTTTGCGGGCACACGCAATTTGAAGGCTTGACATGTTTGGTGTCTATTTACCTGACGTGACCCCGTCTTTTATGTTTTACCAAAAATATGGGTAAGAATAGATGTTTTATAACATAACGAAGGGAAAACATTTTTTTATTCGAAATTTACGGTACTTTTTTCATTATTGGGTGCACACTTTACTTTTTTATTGGGAGTATTGATTTTTTTTTTCTGGTCCTGTTGTAAGGTGAGCCAGTGACTGTTGAGTCAGCTGTACTTTATCATTTCATAGAAGACTAATATCAGCATTTAACTTGGCAATGTAACATCACTGGCCATATTTCCTGTTAATCAATGCTGAATACTCTGATTTGTGGGATGGATTACATTTTTACGGTGTAAGTTTGGCTATTCACGTAAGATATTTTAACTGCACACATAAATATTATTTTGTGTTGAAAGACCTGTTCTCTCACTGCTATATTTCCCACTGATTCACACTAGTATATCCAGCTCTTTTTCATGACCCACCCTCTGATTCTTTGCAAAACTAAAGTAGACCAAAAGTAATGGTGTTGGCTATCAGAAGCAAACATGTAAACAAAATAGCAAGGGCTGAAATAGGATTGGTTGCTATGGGCAACACCTAAACCTCTTTGTTCACTAGTTTTCCATTCTGCACTGTTACAAAATGGGCAATGTGTAAATGTACATCAAGAGCTAGGACCTCAGTTTTCTGTCCCTCTGTCCAGCTCTAGTCCACCAACAGTAGATTTCCCTACAATGCCTAGATGTGGTTTTGGCTGTTAGTGTCTATTTCTCAGCCATTGCTTTATATTTAATTCTGGATGGTCCACACAGGGTGCACTAACCTCTCGTTTCACCATCTCTGGGCTCAGATAGACTATTATTCAAGCTTATGGTCTCAAAGATCGGGTTTTTCTGCTTAAACACCACATTCTGTTATAACAAGTGACTGTAAGGTGCAGTAAGGATGAAAAATAGCGCTCAAAATGTTTTGCTAACATCCTTAAACGTTTGAGTTAAAGCATGTACATTTGATTGACTTTCTGCTTAGTTGCTACATATAAAATGTTGCAGTTATTTAAACTAAATATTTTTTCAGGCTACCCTAGGCATAAAGAGAGGGCTATACTGTAGATAGCATTAAGCAATCACTGGGCCACTGCTTGGGAACTAATACTCTATTGTATCATTATTTTTAAAAGGTTTGCAAAATCAGTTTTTTTTTATTATAAGCTGCTGGATATTCAGAGCAGCTAATCTAGTTTGCTTTGAACCATACCCACACAGCTGAAATGAGCAAAGTTTCAGAATTCAGTGCCAAGACATTTTCTGCCTGATGTTTGTGCTTGCAAGCACACAGTTTGTACACAAGGAGAACCTAGGGAGGTGATCATGTATGAAGTGTACAATATTACAACACAGAACGTTATTCAGACCTCCTGAAACTACCATCGTCGTTTCATCCAAGAGGTGACTAATGTCTCTCTAGTCTCACTACAGCTGCCTTGCACCCTGAGCATGTTGTTGCCCTGATTCAAATTGAAATATGAATGTTTTAGTTGGCAGGTAATGGGCTATCTTTAAAACTAATGCTAATAAAATCAAGTGGCGTTTGCCGAATATACCGTAAGCAAAGTAGAATGACATTTGGCATGTTTTTCCTGGCAGGTCATACTTAGTAAAGGATGTTCGGGTGGAGACGGACATAATGAAGTGTAAACTGGAGACATAAGTTTCAGCAGGAAAAATATGATTTGTATTAAAGGGAAACCAATTAACTCCATCTAGAGCTTTCTGATCACTTTTAGAACCATTTCTAATCACTAAAGTCTATCAGAAAAGTAAAAGGTGATTTGTGACTACACGTTACAGCCCTTTGTATGGAATTGTTTGCATTGCTAATCAAATAAGAACTTTGTGTATCAAGTATTTGTTGTCTCTCTATCTGAAATTAATAGCTGGGGCTATATGTAATTTTCCTGATTTAGACAGCAGATGTGTTTTATGTAAGTTACAAGGACTGGCCGCTATAGATGTCAGTTAAGGAAACAGAATAGTTAAGACCATTGTATAGCTGGCCATACACTTTTATGCCTTTTTTTTTTTTCATTTACGCCCGTGGGCTCAACAAGAGCAATCAAAATCTTCCCTGCTGATTATTGTATTCTGACATTCGGTTGCCACAGTCAGAATACTAAACAGTGACTTCAGCTTATCGAAAAATTGGTTTAAGTCGAACTCGGTGGTGGCAGCAGGGCCACCCACAGATCGACCTTTAGCCAATTCAGCAGGAATCTCTCCTGTCCTCAATGACCACCAACCAAGTATGGCTTTAGGATATCTTTAAATAATTGTAACATTTAGTAGGATCTTTAAAATAGATGTTAATTACCAAAGGTCTGTGCCCATCTGGTAGGCTGGAAACACTTTTGACAGCCACCAGAGGCGAGAAACTCGCAGCTAGACTGTTTATGTTCTAATATCATGCTATATATAACAACCACATCATTTTTATTTTTTTTAGAGTGGGAGCATGAAATTGTATAAATGTCAGTATTATTATCCAGACCTGGTCTGGTTAGATTCATCCTGTCTTTGTACCCCCCAACCAACTATGGAATCTGATTCTGTACCACACCACAGGAAAATATCTTTTCATCGCCTTTTTTTGTGACAGAGGGATCTGAGTCTGGCAGTTTGCTTCCTTACACTCACCTGAGACTTGCAGTGAGACTTTTTCTTTAAATCAAAAATCACAAGTAGCATTATATATCAATGCCCTGTGTAAGATGATCATGTAGCTTCTATACAGTAGGTAACAGTGACCCTTATGAAATTTAGGGGAGCCTTTAAAGGTGTTGTAGGTTCCCTAATATAAATCACATATACGTTTGTTATGATAATGTTGATTGAAAGAAAACATATTAAATGTTATGTTCTTTTTTTTATGTTCTTTTTTTCAGGGCTTAAATGTGCTATTGAGTTAGCAGAAAAGATATCGTCCTTCCCTCAGAAATGTATGCGTGCTGACAGATCTTCTGCTTACTATAGTACTTTTGATTCTGCTAGCTTTACAGATGCTATGCAGTACGAATTTGATAACGGAGCAAAAGTTCTTGCTGAAGAATCTGTTGCTGGAGCCAGCAGGTTCAGCGCGGGAGAAGGAAGGAAAGGAAAGTTGTAGATAAACTTGTGCGTACTTGTAATGCTATATTGGTGGTGATTTCTAATTTGCTCAGGTAAAACAAGCAATTATGTATCCTAATGTATACACATTTTACAAATGGCAAATTGAGTAATTTTTAGAAATTTGTAATGATGTCAAATAAATTATCACTTTAAAATTAAAGTTTTCTTCTTTTGCCTTTTTATAATAACATTTGGATATCATTAAAAGGGTATTGTGGTTTCCCTGCCTGGACACTTGATTTTTTGCTAGCATTCTCGGAGGATTGCCAGTTTTATCATCTGTGCGGACTCTAGCTGTCAGTGACAGCAAGGATTGAGAGTTGGCAAGTTTTGGGAATTTATTAATATATCCTCAGCAATGGCCATTGTGTTGGGGAACGTTATTATGCCAGATTGTGGTCAAGAAGAAGCTAAGTATAACTAAAGGCAAAACTGTTTTCTTTTGTTTGGATAGAGTGGTTAGGGCTTCCTACCACTCACTGTTTTGTTTTTACTGCTGTCTGTGTCCATTTTAGGGAGATTCACGCTCTCTAATTGTCCGGATAACCAATGCCACCAGGAATAAAAGTAAGGGTTTTCAGTTGCAGCCAGAAAGGGAATAGAAGGGAGATCTTCCAAAGGAGACACTTGTTCCAGTGACAGTTGTCCAAGACGGGATTTCCCTCACAATGGAAAGATATAATCTCACTTCCTGCTAAGTCTTCAAGACAGAAAGTTAAGGGAAATCTCCCTAATGGATCACAGATGGAAAAACAAATCTTACAGCAGTTTTAACCCTCCCCTACTGCTTTCAAAACAAACCAAAATGTGCCTATAGATATACTACTGTATAAGATCTAGTTTTAAACAAAGTGTTATACATTTGAAAACGTTCAGTAATATTATTGATTGCAGTAGTTGTGATTTGCCACCCCTATTAAACCTGTTCAGGTGATTTTATACAGATAATTTAATATGCATTTGTGTTTAAAAGATTCATACCACTTTTGGAAACATTCCAGAAACTGAGTATCACACTGATTAATCAACCGGTATCTGTATCCATTTCATCAAATAACTACAAATCACTTAGGCCTTGCAGTGTGTACAGCAAGCTTTTGAAAAGCATTTACAAAGCACTCAGAAAGCTTCAAGCAGCTTTGTTGATGCTTTTAACCACTTAAGTTCCAGGTGCTATTTTAAAACAGCACAAGGACAGGAGCTGTTTGTTCCAGCAGCATTTTAAAATGGCACCCAGGCTTAGTGGCCCCTGTAGGTCCTGGTGGGTTATAGTTCTGGAACCACCGGCTGTCAGTGACAGCTGGGGTCCAGCACTAAGCTCAGGAGCTGAAGCAATCAGTGCATGGGCTTCCAATCCTTCTACAGATTGCTCAGTTGCACTTTGTAGAAGAAAATGTAAACACAAAGAGAATGTAAACACAGTGCTTTCCCATTGTGTTTACATTGGGAGTGACTTGACAGCACTTCCTGTCAGTGCAGCCAGGTAATAGAGAAAGATGTTCAGAAAGGCCAAACATTGAGGCAGCGGCAACATTTCAAGGGACTCTTTTGGTGTATTATGTCTCCAAATAATGGAGAAACAAATGGAGTTGATTCACTGAAAATGTATCAGTGCTATCGGACAGTGGGAGTTGGCATGAATATAGAGCAATTTTGGCAAAAAAAAAAAAAATTGTGTTAACACTTTAAGAAGATCTAGAGGAAGATCAATCCACTGTTCCATTTCAACAGGCAATGTTTTTATAAGGGAATGGAAAGTTTTGGTGTTGTAGTCTCAGATGGAAAGTTGAAGTTTGACTTCCAATTATTTAAATGTATCTACAATCTTTAATTGTGGGAATGGATGTATATTTTAGTTGTTGATGGGTCTATGGGAAAAGGGATTTTCCCCTTAAAGGGTCATTATCCTGTTGAAGGACCCATGACCTGTAAATGAGGCAGAGCTTTCTGACACTGGACAGTACATTACACTCCAGAATACTTCCGAAAAGCAGCCCCAAAACATAACCGAGCCTCCTCTATATTTCACAATAGATAGTGTTCTTTTTCATAATTTTTTTCTGGAAGCTGGCTCCATGTTGTTTGGCCAGCTCCATGTTGATTGGCCGGGAAGCCGGCTCCATGCTGATTGGCTGGGATGCCAACTTCCTGGCCAATCAACATGGAGCTGGCCAAACAGCATGGAGCCGGCTTCCAGCCAATCAGGAACCCCGGCAGCAGGCAATGACTCGCCTCTCAGGTTCAAATTGGCCCGAGAAGCCGGCTCCATGCTGATTGGCTGGGTTGCTGGCTTCCCGGCCAAACAGTATGGAGCAATCATAATCCCGATTGCCTGGGAAGCCGGCTCCATGGTACTGGAAGTACTGGTAACGGAACTCGGTATCAGCGAGTACCGAAATATAAATATCGGCACTCGTAGTCGATACCGAAAAAACGGTATCGGTGCATCCCTCCTGATAATAATAGAGTGTAAAGTACAGTAATCCACAGCAGCTTAGAGTGAACCTACTAATGATTTGTTATTGGCCTGTTCTAGGTTAATACACATTTATTTTTTCACTGTTATTAACCCCTTCGTGACTGACGACGTACAGTGTACGTCGCCAGCATCGGGGCTGTTTAAACAGACTCCCGGTGAACCACCGAGGGATAGGCACAAAATGTTTTCAGATGGCCTCAGATCCCTGGTATTATACATATGTGTTTTGCAGCTTCCCAGTACAGCAATTATCTGGCAATTCCAGTGACTAAAGTTATATCAAGTTAGGTAAGTGTATTTCCGCCAGGTGTTAAACTGGACACTGTTCTTTGGAAAATTTTCTTTTAATTGAGATTTAGTTAATTCAATATGTGGTTTATATATTGTGCTGTCACAGCCGCTGTTATTTCTGGTACACTGCATAGGTGTTCATTGCCTGTCATTATGTTATGGTATATTCCTTACAACTAGTGGTAGATTAGCATTACTACAACTTAATCTCTATATACTGTGAAATCTTCCATTTCACCCCTTCTGTTTTGTGTAAACTGGTAGAGTCTTCTACTAGACTTTTCCAGCCTCTCTTCTCTACTTCCTTTTCGTCTTCACCCTCAGTGAGGTCTATGTGTGCTGTATGAGGCTTCAGATAGGAATGCCTTTTCCACCTCTAAGAATGACAAGGAATCACATCCTATGTATTGTCAATGCTAAATAAACTACATTGGCTTCTACTCTGAGTCTTCTTAATGAGTTGGACCCTACCTGTGGATACCATCAGCTCAGTAGGTTGTCATACTATCCGTACAGATGAGTCTCAGGAAGGTATGTGCTAATACATAATTCTGTGGTTGAGACAGAACATATATACTTGTTTTACTTCATATCGTGTCTATTGAAGTATTATGGGTATGACACTCTTAGTATTTTCATCGTTTTTATAATTTAATTGATTTAGATACATTTCAATGAGCTCAATTCAAAGCTGTTTTACTCTTCTTTGGATGTTATTTTCTTGATCACCTTATCTACCTCATATCTCACAAATCTCAATGCACAAAGATGCACAACACTTCGCTTAGCCAGCTCTGTATGTAGTGATATTCTACCACTACTAATGTTATTTCAAAACTGTCACTGTTTTCTTATAGGCTCTTTTGAAAACATTCATGTAAAATATAATTCAGGAAGAATATCATATCAGTTTATCGCCCCTTAAAATAACACTAACTTCAGAGAGTTGATAATCAGGAGTTTCAATAGCCGTCTATGGGGGAGAAAAGGAGCTGTTTGTGACAGTGATGGTTTTCACTTCACAAGATAAAATAATGATTTACAAGAAAATATGGCTTTTAACAGATAAATGCTTATCGGGTGCTGACCAAAGCATTCTCTACCTTTTAGAATGTGCTAGTAATTTATAATGGGATGACAGTAGGGTTCAACCCATTTCTCAGAACTACAGTCTGGAAGTATGAGAATGTGTCTAAGATGATATAATAACAGTGATAGTAGAAAGTAGCAGATTTCAAATATATATTTATATACTATATATAATACCATACAATGGCATAGAGATGGCGACCTGGTGCCTCCACAACCAAACCCAATCAGAAAATATCTAAACATAGATATGTCATATATGTGGATATATCGTATAATCATTTAGTGGCAAATGTGTGTTCCTCAGTTTGTCCCTCTACTTTCACATTCAAACTGATCAGAGTAGCTTGGAATCTGCACAAAGGCCTTCACCAAAGAAACATTTAAATGCAAAGAAATATATTTTAAAAATATATATGTTTCATTATGATGTGTGAATGGGAACACATAACAAACATATAGTGGGTTTTCACAAATGTGACTGCCAAAGTGGAAATACACTTTAAGGTCATCTCATAATTCCCGATGAAGCAGACTGTTTTTTTGAGGAATGTGACAAACACTACTGTCATTCCATTATTAATTACTAGCAAGTTCTGAAATCAAGATAATATTTTGCTCAACGCCACAGAATGTCTATGATATTTAGTGAATGGTAAAGGGTAGATGTTTGGGAACACATACACTTGTTTGTGCCATTAAGTACTGCACACTTTCCCAGGAGATCTATATTTTTATGTGATTTTAATGTGAATACAATAAAACATTGTTTTGGAGATTTTATTGCCTAAATTTGTACATGTACTTCCCCTAATATTCTGTTCTTTCTTAGTATTAGAGGTATTGTTTGGTTTCTGCCTTTCAGTTGCCATACAACATAGTGATAAGCATTTTTGCCGTGACCACAATATAGCTTCACCTTAAAGCGGACCTTTACCCACATGTTGAAATTAACAACAAACACACCTTTAGAAATGTTTAGTAATGACAATCTACAAACTGTGTGTTATGAAGGATGTGGCTGTTACTCAACTATGCCAGCATAGAGCACTGGAGTGTAAGAAGGAAGGAGCGATTTTACAGAGAGAATCATTTTAAAGTGGACCTTTCCCCCATATCTTTAAAATAACAACAAATACACCTTTAGAAATGCTTAGAAATTGCAATCTACACATACTTCTAGATAATTGCAGACTTTGTATTCTT